CATTTTAGTCCGATGTCCTGTTGTTTTATATTCGAAAAACGAAAAGTGATGGTGTTAAGATTTTATGATTCAAGCAGTTTTACTTGCGAATCCCTTTATTATTTTATCCTAATATTGTACAATAATAATAATAAGACATCAGATCGGTCAAATATAATCACGCTCTCACTAAATTTCATTAAAGTACAGTAATCATAAGATAATAATAATTATTATTAAATATGTATTTCTTCTGAATTAATTTATGATAATGATGATAAGATTTTGGTTCAATTTGTAAATGTTTGGATGATCCTGTTGTTGATATTTGTCACTGAAATCTGACCAGTCTTGGCTGACACATGAGCTTTATATAAGCAACCCCCATAGGATGCTAACATGCCAACCAAGAGTGATCAAATTTCAGTTAAAAAAAACATCAATACCGGAATAATAATAATAATAATAAATTAGGGATTTTTTGAACTCTGCGATTTAGGGAATAATACGATGATGCTTGAAAAGAACGGTACTCAGTTTTAGTGTCAGAGTAAACATCAGCTATGAGATACAAGTAAATCCAGCTGACCAGTCCAAAATAGGATGAAATGCACCCCCTGATAGTCACCTTCCATCTATTTGGTATCAAAGATTTTGTTGTTTTTATTAAAAACAACAAGAAATTCTGTCAAACATACGGAGTACAATTTCAATGTATATTACTATTCGTAAGAATTTATCTTTTTCTGCTTGTTAATATTCACGATTGAATTGGATCAATCTCTTCTGGGATAAATAATCCTTTATTGAATACCACAATATTGTTCGTAGCTTCAAGTTTATTATAGTTCTGGAGGGTGACTAACAGTTGAATACAGAACACACCATAAACACTACCTGAGGCTCGTACCCTTCACCTCAACGTTGATTTTCACAGTGACATGAACCAGTTACCTATCGCTAGCCCGTTACTCGCCAATGTGATAACGGAGATCGATAGAATTCATTCTTAGAAATCAACAACGTTAAAATTGGAAGCCCTACAAATAATAAATAACACAATCACTGAACATTTTATTCGGTATTTTGAATCATTATTTTATTAAATAGTTTTTTATTGTTTAATGAAATAGGTAATAGGTTCAAGTCTCAATGTGAAAAACACTGATGCTAATCAAAAGCAATCATACAATATCACGTATTGAAAGCAGCTAAAAATGTAAATGTTAGAATTAAAACTTCTGTCTGAACGTTAAATGCTCGGTGCGAAGCCTAAAGTTTCTGGATTCGATCCCTGACAGGTTCATCGGTCTGGACTGCTGAGCCTGATTCCAATACACAACAAACCCCGATTACATCCTAGTCATTCCATGATACGAACTAAAAAACTGAATAATCTTCACAAATCCCCAGTATTAACAATAACTATTTTCTTAGTAGTGCTCACAGTTCAGTGAGGTTAAACTACGCCGCTTATGAAACAAGGATTGACAAAAGTTAATGACCCTAAGTAGATAACCCAATTAGAATTCATTAGTTGACCATACTTATTTTCGTTTACAGTCAGCAGATGAGTTAATGGTTTACAGAAGTTGTTGTTTTAACCTACGTAAGTTTATCCATAGATGTCATGTGATAAAAAATGAGGACGAAACAACAACTGACTAAGTAAGCCTAGCTGGAATGGAAACGTTGAGTGAAGTGTCCTGGCGAGGCGACTTTAGATGTGGCAGTCGCTGCCGGTGGGGAGAACATGTTAGACGTCCCGGGTGCTGGACAGACATTAGACTTAGATGGCCCGGTATGTCGCTGGAGCTACAGAGCTCAGTGTGCCAGCGGACTCGACGTTTTGACAGGGAGCGTAGCAGGCTGCGACAAAGGTGGCACAGTGAGCAGAACAAGTGAAGCGGCGACCGTTTAAACAGAGAACGAGTTTGATGGATGGCAGATGTAGGTAGCATCTGGCACCAGTCGGAAGTGGAATGCCTGCCAACAGAAGATTGAATTGGAGATAACAGGGAAGGAAAGAGAGAGGAATCGCAACAACAACAGAATTGAAAGAATCATGAATTATGTAAAAGACGACTGAAGGATGATGTTCAAATGATGCATTAATCTATGGTTTCATAATTTACAAAGGGACTGTGTATTTTAGAATCAAACAATAAATTGGTTCGCCACATCTGAGTTCTCGTTTACTGAAAGTTTATTTTAATATTAGTCCAACATTTATCGGTTATCTCTGCGATCAATTTATATAACCCTACCTCTTAACCGAAAAATGAGGACTTTACGAAATGAATTTATAGCATGTGTTTTTTCTTCTCGATATGTGTTTCATCAAAATTTATCAATTCAATGAAGTGTCTAATAAAATAAATTGAAGTCATTTTATTCTATATTCAGCCTTATTGTCATCAATAAAGTTTAAAGATTGGTTTTAAATTCAAATTAACATTGGATAAGTAGTTGAATTGTATTCTTTAGCTTCAAAAAGCAATAATTTATCGATTAGAAGTCCTCTACTAGTAAAAACTACTTCCAACTGGAATCGATGACAAAATGTAATATGCAGAAGGTTTATTACAATTTTTCTATCTACAACATTGAGTGATAAGGGTTATAAGTTTCAAGGCGTTTTCGATTCTATCGAAGTAAAAAGAGCCCCAAATGACCTATTTTTTCCGTTTAATTTAGAAATTGTAGTTCTGACGCTAACGCAAGTCAATGATGACCTATATTTTTTAGTTACAGAGATAGCCCTAATTATTCACTGAAAGAGTGCTTTGTCTTTGAATTCATTATTTTGCGTTCCTCAAGTTGATTGATTTACTATTATAAATAGATCAAATTTGTCGATTTTTTGAATTGTTTGGGAGACTTTTAAAGCTCTCTTAACAAAAATCACCTCTTTAACTCTTATAGCTGAAGTTGAGATAAATAAGATTTAAATTCTGTCTTCATATTAGTAGTAGCAGATATGATATGCGTATAAAGAAGGGGAAGGTTGCCTTCAGATACATCAATGGGGTAGTATAAAAGGAGTTCATAAATGCAAAAGTAAAAATGTCTATATCATCATATCAAGTCATTCATTTGACTGATCACTTTGAAAGTCGGATAGATAAAGTTAATTTAACCCTGAAAATTAATGAATATATATAATACTAGTTGGATTTAAGCTTCAATTACTGTATAGTAAACAACTTTAAGTTCAATCTCTGGTCATTAAGCATTTTCATTATATTTACATTTTGTTATACATTTATATATATACATATATATGTTACGCAATAGTTGATAAATAAATTAATCAAGGAGATGAAATTATTGGAACAATAATGATGAGTTTCTCTTTCCTCGAATTGAATTTTGCTTCTGCTAAATCAGTTTCAATTTTACAAGGCAAACGAAGATCTAACGGATAAAATCCAACGGATGAATCCACAACTTCCAATTTAACTCGATTCTATAGAATTTTATATTGTAGAAAATAAATAAAAAGTGAATATTAAAAAAAATATCGTGCGCTTTACATCCAGTTACTAATGCATTAAATAATCACTAATGAAAGAAAGATTAATATTATTGCCCAGGTAACAAGAAAAATCAGCTATTGCTATGTTTACAGATGATAGCTGAAAATCAACATATCATTACTGAGTAAAAGATTCATTTTGTATTCTTCTTCAGAATTCAAGTCATTCATAATTAATTGTATAACCATATTATTTGTCATATTATTATATTATTCTCACTGCTTTCGATTTCCCACTATTCTTATCAATTTATCTGTTGGTAGTGCAATGACTGTTTCTTTAAATATTTGGCCCTAAGTATTCAAATATCTTTTAAATAGATTAGCCATGGTTCGTTTGAGCACAGCATATCAGTTTGATTACCTGTATCAGGTGGGATTTTCACTTGATGATTTTATGAAGATATTTGATTACGTGAAGAGAATTTTCACCAGTTACAGAATCAGTAGAATCTAGGGAAACTCGAGAATCATTTAGTTCTTGTTCGAGAGTCGATGCCAGTGTCAACCCCCCACCATATATAAAATCCAATTCATTACCAGTAGGTAACATAGGATTATACCACTAAACTGGATACATTATCTCTTTCAGTTACCTTATTATGTTAAATGGGTTGCACAACCATTACTGGAGTAAGCATCATCATAAGAATACAGACTTTATTATGCAAAACGTTTATTACAGAAACCCTTCTTACGCACGGATTAAAGTGTAACTGTTTATTCAGTGATTCAAAATCTAAAGAAACATCTTACTCGCTTAAGGTTCGCAAACTATGCCATTTTCTGTGTACGAACTATTATTATTATCCAAAAGAAATTAGTGCTCAATTTCACCGACTAACAGTTAAAATGTCAATTATTTAGTCTACTTGGTTACAGTATATTAACTTGTCAATGAAAAGTCAATTGATTTAAAGTATCAGATCTGTAGTGTTAATTTATAATAGTGTTTTTATTTATTAAGTAATTATTTAATTAATTTTATAGTAGTACTATTCTAGTATTAAATTTGGCAATACTTTTTATATAGTCATTAAAATAAACTCTAATCTGTGTATTAAGTGTGTATGAGAAATAAACTTTACGAATAATAAATTCAACTTAGTATTGTTTGTTTGAATCTTCCCATCGATTTGTTAGGACTGCAACTGGTCAGTCTCTAATTGGCATATGTGCATACTGTGCGTATTGCCTCGATTTACCTTAATTCACAAGCATGGTTAGTAGAGATGGATAGTGGCTAGCAGTGGAATCCAGGACGCGCGTTTCGTCCTATCGCACAAGCAAGTGGCTATCAGGACTCAGTGGTCGAGTGGATAACGCGATGGCGTTTGAAGCGAGGGTACTGGGTTCGAGTCCCAGAGTGAACATCAACTCTGAGATGCAGGTACATCCAGCTGACGAGTCCGAAGTAGGACGAAACGCGCGTCCTGGATTCCACTGCTAGCCACTATCCATCTCTACTAAATGAATAATAGTTGGTTGACACACTGAAAAGTAGCTTAGAATAAATGAGTCAATGGGAGATTGAACAACAATCTTTCTTATTTTCTTTTTGTATAGTTCAGCCACATACTTTGTTAAGAATGAAGCATCACTAAGCAAATAATTCTTTTCATAGAACCGTACTTGAATGAAAATAGCCTACTGATTAAGAAAAACATGAACATTTAGTTTTTTAGTTTTCTGGCTTCGAATTGGATTTAATCACATTAGTATTTTAAGATGAGTAATAAACGTGTCAGGTGTAAGGCATTTACCCACCGAAGACAATAAAAGATCATTCGCAATATCGTGGATTGGTTGAAGTTGGATATTATCACTGCTGAGTGCTGGCTCAGTGGTCTAGAGTGCCCTGGTTTTGAGTCCCGCGTGAGGTATCGTGGATGAGTGCTGACGAGGAATCCCGCAATCGAGCGAAATGCCTATCCAGTGCTTCTAGGTTTTCGATGGTGTGTTAACATTGATCGATTTATGGTTTCAATTAAAGCCTTGACAATCTCCATAACTCCATACTGAGTAATTAATAATTGATTCATTGTTACATATCTTAACATTTTCATTTTCAGAGCCCATGTAACAAACAGAAGGGTATTTGAATGAATCTCTTTGAAATATAAAAATGATATTTTCTTTGTCAAATTAAAAGCATAATGGTATTATGAGTATTTTATGGTAAACAGAAATCATTTTGAATAATTTTTTACAGTCAGAAAATGATGTGCACTAAGTGTGAATCAGGTCCGAAATGAGAATAAATGCCCCCTTAGTCAATTGGTTAATGTTCGTGTTAATTTATCAACCGACTAAAATTTCAAAAAGTCAACCAATTTATCTTAACCTGGTAGGTAATTAAGTGAAACTCTCTGGTTCAGCTCCAAAATAAGATAAAAAGTTTGCATTGGCTGATGAAATCGCACTCAAAACAAAACGATTTCACATTATAACTGAGCTCTTATTAGCTTTTCAACTAGTATTAGTATTAATATTGTTTAGCAGATTTAATTTTTCTGGTTTAAATTTTTTTTATTCGGATGGTTTATGCAGATAATTTTGATATTAGAGATTTATCTAAGACTAATAAGAGCAGTTGAAAAATCATTAAAAAACAATGCAGCGTACTGTTGATTAGTGTTAGTTTTGTACTGCCCGACTACAACACTTCATAAGGTAGGATCTACGACCTTTAATTCTTATGGTCAGCGTGCTACATCTTAGACTACTAACTTCAGTAAAGTATCTCATGTTTTCGGCTCCATTTAAATAAAAATACTACTTCTGAACATTTATAACACTGTAATTTATCAGAATGTTCTTTATTTTACTCACTATTGTTAAATCGACGTTGCACTGTTTGCCAGACTTTATACCGGGTAATGCAAAAGTTAATTTCAATTGATTCACCTTATTTGATTGTTTAGTTAAATTAGAATTAATTACTTTGGCGGACCATGAAATTGAATTCATGTTTCCTAATGTTATGTCATGTGAATCTACTGATATTTCATTTATCTCTTCAATCAGAACCTTCTGCTTTGAACTAAATGATGATTTTTGATCATAGTTTGATCGTTCTGTGGAAAGTTTAAGTGATTTTGTTGAACTAGAACATAAATCAACATCATGATCGTTAATAGCATCATCATCATCATCATCATCATCATTCACAATTGATCTAGAATTCTTTAATTCCATTAAAGTTTCTGGCGTTAAATTTTTTATCCAATCAAATTCATGATTAATTTTCATATTTGTTTTAATTGGATTAATTAAAAAACCAATTGATTTAAACACTTGTTGTTCACTTCCATATTTATCAGATGGTTTCAATAGTTTTGGACGTATAGGATTATTGGAATATTCCACACTAACTGATTCAATTGTTGGTAAAGATTTTTCCTTTTCTAAATAATTCAATCCAAGCCAAACAAGTTGATAACGATTATCATCATGCATAGATTGAGAATAAATTATTTCTTCATTATGTATTTGATCATTTTTCAATGATTCATTGAAATTATGCTCAGTAAATACTTTCGGATTGAAAGCTAATGTGATAGCATTCACTATAAAGAAGACAAAATATAGACGAAGTCAACGTAGCTATTACTGAGTAACTTATTATTAACATTTAAAATTTCCAAGGTCGACCCTGACTTCAAAGAAAATACACAACTAGTATTTAATTCTTAAAACCACTATATTAAATTAAATGTGTTCTATTTTATGTATATGATTATGATCTCAACCAAAAAGACTATAAAAACAATACGACTGAAACATGTAGTTTCACTATGAACTATAGTACTGATTACGAAGTCAACATGTGTGAAATAAAAACATCTTTTACAATACAGAGGGTTATCAAAATCCCTGAATTTTATAGTTTTTGCCCCCCCCAAAAAAATGAACACAGATGACCATTGTAAATCAGGGTGCATCAGGTAGCTGTTTCATCCTAGTATAGGTTCCTTAGATGTGACTATCCATGACTGCTAACGAATTGAAACTAAGACTCCCAAGTTTCACGCCAAGCGCTTATCTTTTACATAACTTGGTCGGCATCCAGCGGTTAATACTCATAAATTCAATCAGTTCATTTCAATGTACAACCATTATTCATCACCTTTACAAAACGTTTGGACAATGTTCTCGTTAACCTTTTAACTAATATTTTAAAAATTTTAGAAAACGAAGCATGGTTCATTAACATTTTGAATGAAATAAATTCAACAATTTTTACTCAGTTACCTTTGTTTATCGTAAACATGTCACCACATTTCACAGAAATCGGAATATCTGATGATTCAGGTTCTGGAATAATCGACCATTCACAAAAATTGACTAATAAAGGTTGTTTGTTCAACTTAATAAAATAAAATTTTTAAAAGCAAATATATAAACAACCACTAAAAGGCAATTCACAGTTTTGCTTTTAAGGAATATTATTTACATAATGAGTACAGAAAGTTATAAACTAACTACTGAGGTTCCACGTGAAATTCGTAGCACTAAATAAACATAACAAAGTGTTACAGGCGTTTGAAGGGAACCGGTTTTTCAATTCAGTCACCCTCCAATCGACTAAGATGTAACTGTCAGTTTCAATTCTTAGACGTCATACAATATCAAAAAGAATCTGGAAAACAGAAATTCTTGAACTTTTGTAATAAAGTAAAATACATATAATAGTGATAAGCAGAAAAGTTGTGAATATGTATATCATTCTATAAATAACTCTTCCATAAAATAAATTATCATATAATTAAATGTAGAAAATGTAAGCTACTGGTTATGAATCAGAAAGTATATATTGTTATTTCTAAAGAATTAATGGATAATTTATGCTCTGTTATTAAAGTTTACTTTCATTTACAGTGACTCTTCGGTCATCCTGAAGCAATCAGTATTGTCACGAATCAATGCAATTTATCCTGATCTTTACATAGATGGATTATTATAATCTCTACACTGATTCTGTTAAAAATATATTTGCCTTTGTCAATTACTCACATATAACCTTGAGTATGGTTTATGCGTTTGCATGGTAGTACGTATATGTTTGTTCACTTCCTGCATTTCTTACACGCATTGTAAAACCTGAGCCATCTTATTACTGTTTGAGTAGCCATATTTCCGAACCCCAATATTTTAATTAATCACAGTATGATTTATTAATTGTTTGCTGTTCAAAGTTAACGTATCTGTGATATATGTATTCTTAAAACAATTTTTATTCAATTTTGATATGTTGTCTTAAGTCAACAAAACTTATACGAGGTTCAGTATGGTACATTTATTGTTATCATTATTGTCGATTATATTGGACTCAGACACTGAGCAATAAAATATCAAGCCTGATATGATTGTTGCAGTTCATTTACACCTAGCTGAATTTATTAACAATATATCATTAAGACATAGTAGTGTATAGCATTAAAAACATACAAGCCTCTAATCATGAACAATGCTTGTGAGTTATACCTTAATATTTAAGATAAGTAGTAAGTCCAAAGTGTTGATCGCATAAGCGAAGCTAATGAATTCCCTATGCTTTTAAAAATCACAGGGTTACAGTAATTGTCGACATGCTGATAAATTAAAATGTAAAATAACAACACTTATCAATGATTCGCATTTATGAAATATTTCGGGAATGTACGACGAACTGTTTAAAAGCCCTCATTGTATCAAAACAGTGATATATGAACAAATAATATTCTTTTCAATCAATTTTCTTTGGCTTCTAAATAACTCTACAAATTAACTAACGATATGCGTCATCACTTTCACTCACCTTTTGAGTAATTTTAACAACAAATCTTATGATAGGTGGAGATGTAGTTTTACGGAAAGACTCCATTTGTCGATTGATAAATTTACGATAACAAACCGGATCATTCTCAGACATTTCATCCAACATTTTCCATAGCCGATTTGCATCATCCAGTAGTTTGTTATTGGACATGTTTGACTAAGTAACAGAAAAAACGGTTGATTGTAAGGACTAGTTAACAGCAAACATATGTAGTGTCAATATCAGTCGAGTGATGGTAAAAAGTCTGTTAAGGCATAGAAGTCAACCAGAGTGTCGAACATAAAAGCTCACAAGACCAGCTGATCTGTATTTCTTTCAAGTTAAACACACAAACTCTAAGTTAATTTCTCCAGGCGTTTTAACTCTATCTATTTTCGGAGTTAAATTTTAAAGTTGTAGCACATTATCAAGACAAGTTTGTAGCTAATTTAGAACTAGAATAATACAGATAATGCTGTACATCAGTCAAGTTGTGAAAAATTATATTGTTCTTCAGAAAACCGAAACCATTGCAAAAGATGAGTGGATTTTCCACCTGTAAATGCTATGATAACTCCATCAAGAAGTCCGTTCACCCTTTACTCACCTTTCTGTGTGTTGAGAAATATGGACTAAATAAATAATCTGGACTTATAACTCCTGTACGGAGTAATCGAACATTGTAAAACTTCTTTATGATTGTTAACCTAAAATGAAAAGGAATCCTGATCACAAATGCATGCAAGATTGTCCTCAGTTCACCATTCCAAACATAGTGAGTAGTAACGAAACCATTGATCGAATCCTCAAAACGGACACATTATCTACTTTGGGAGCAATAACACTATGTGGGCATATCCTAAGTGCCATCTTTAGATCATTCTCATCAGGCAATATTTTGTTTTCTAAGTTCCTTGAAGCATGACCTTATGACTTCATAACTTTGTCAAATCTTGGGATTGTCTAAAGTATTTCAAAAACACATTAAAACTACTACTCAGTTCACAATTTCTACTACAAGATTTCTGAAGGCGTTACCGGTGTTTTTGATGAGATTTAGATTTCCACTCATGTTTCTGTAATGAAATGACTCACGAATATCCTATGTAATCCTGAAGCCATTGGCAACAGAAATCTTAACAGGAACTCGTTGAGTATTAAGACTTCTTGGTTTTTATAGTTCATTACTTTAGGTAACACAAGTATTTAAGTAACACACGTATTTTCTAGTAATACGAATCAATTTAGTTATGCATTTGCATCACCACGTTTTTGATTGAAATTAACTTCAAGTGACCACCTACACATCTACTCAACTAGTGGATTCGGGTCATCGTGTTATGTTATTCTAATCGACATGATGTGTATGGGTCTCAAAATACTTATGTCATCTACAGAAAGTAGGACAGATGTTTTTGCTACAGTTCGTAGGTCATTTACATAAAGTAGAAAAAGAAGACGACCGAGGACTGCACCTTGATTGACTTCACATTTTACATATTCACACGTTCAAAAAGCCCCGTTTACCCGTACCTTTTATCTTTCTTACTCAGGACGTTATCTATCCAGTTTATGATTCAATAATGAGTCATGAAACTTTCTAGTTTTAACTTATGGCCAAGATGGAGGATTTTGCCAAAAGCTTTACTTAAATCTATAGAGATAACATACACTGGACCATATTTATCTCTCTCTGCAGCCGAATTTCTCCTTGCAATGAGCAGATTTGTTAAGTGTGAAAGGCCTTTCCTAAAACCATACTGTTCCCTGGATAAAAGATTATTCACCTTCCACATTGTTTGGACTGGCTATCCGACTGATGCACAGGCATATCAGACAGTATTGCCAGAGGTTTAGTAACTACATACACCAGTGCTCTCATAATCCTGGGATCGAGACCATCATGACCACTGACCTTGACTGGTTTGAGATGGTAAGGTGATCGTATCTTCACCTTCCTCGATAACCAGAGGATCGATCGACAGTCTTCCTTTATCATAATTAATGGTTTGTTACTCACCATCGTCGGTAGAGAACACATTACTAAAATATTCTAATGAAGCTTCAGCTTTTACAACACCATTTCTTGTTAATATTAATGGGTTTTCCTGTATCAAAAGTGGTGGGATTCCATCACTTCTATAATTTCCCCTCTTCATATGCGAGAACAACCTTTACAAACTATTTTCACAATCCCTAACCAATTGTTTTTCATGCGAAAGTTTAGCCCTATTATTCAGCGCTTTGAATAAGTTCCTAGTCTTCCAATAAGTTGGTTTGTACTATTCAGAGCCATAGCGACAAACGTACTCCAATCCTTTATCCTACATCCAAAAAGTTTATTGACCACTTTGGTTATCCATTATAGAGATTTATTGTGTCTACGTGGGGCTAAGCATGGTATTTACAAGTATGTGACAAAACTAGGTTTACCTTTAAATATGATGAACTAGTATCTACTGACCAATATGGTGTTCCAGCACATTCCTGTATGGCTATTATGCTCATTCTCCACCCAGATGCGAGGGTGTGGCCAGATTGCATATTATATCATAGACCTCAAACATAACTGACAAAGCAGAATCATTGCTATTTAAATAGGCGATACCCTAGGTTGCATGGGTGACTTCGTTAAATCTAAAGAAGATCATTGGTTTGAGTCAAAACGTATGGATTCGGTTACATGCTGCACTAATCATATTAGGAATTATTGTGTTTATCTATAACTTTGTCGTAAAAGACTCAAACAATACAATGAATATTAAGCTTTTGTTTGTAAAACTTTGCAATGAGGATTTTGAAGGGTTTTCCCCGAAATTCCCCTACACATTGTGGAAAATTCGAACACGACCACTGGTCTGGGGTTTTTCCCCGACTTTTCCCCCAAAATCGGTAGATTAGACAAGCATTTTCAATTACAATCATCAGAAGTGGTTCAAATGGTTCTGGGAGGAATACAAGAAGCTGTCGCTCAACGGGCTGCCTTATTGTGATACCTCCACATAAGAACCTAGGTATATTGACGACAAAAGAGGAAAAAGAAAAAGGAGCAGGTAAACAATGGTAAGATACTGTTTTCATTCTTTAAGAATATGTCAAATTTTCTTTTAAAGGACAAGCTCAGGGGGGGGGCAATTTCAGCATTTGACTACTCTTAAGGAGAATACGTTTAGTAAAGCATCATAAAAATTCTGTTTTTATTATTAGGCCTACGTTAGATTACAGATTATCAGTAGCTTTAGTCATTAATGAGTTTAAAAACTCGTTTGGTACTCAAGAGTCTGGTTGCTACGGTTTAAATCCTTGCTGGAATACTTGAACTTTGAACAAATGTCAAATTAATTTAGCAAAAAGTAATGTTTTAAATAGACCTGCACTTCTGAATACATGATCTATGAACTGACATGCATGTTGAGAAAACTGGACTTTTTAGCACTGATCTTACCAGTTGAATGAATAGTTCGGTTATTCTGAATTAGAAATGTTTCTTGCTATATTCTTTGGCTTTGGTGTCATTGTGTAGGAAGAGATTCCAGACAGTACCATTTCCGGATGATACATATATACTACCACAGCTTCACCTCTTTATGATGAATGAGCACAGAACAAAATTTTTCATTCCATATCCTTTGCTTCTGTCGTTTTAAAACTTGTCCTACCTTGATCATTATATAAGGTATGGTTTATTCTTGAATAAGATATTTTCGTGAGTAGACCATGATGGATTCATGACAGCTTGTGGTCATATGGATTTGAGTGATGAACTATTTTACGCTCATGAGGTATGATCTGATTCCCCATAGCACTTCACAATCATCCATAGATGTTATTTTGAAACCCGGAGATCCAATCTGGTGGCAGCAGAGGACTTTTCGCCATTTGAAGCTTAAAAGTTAAGTTGTATAAAAATATTGTCAAGTATAAGAGAGCTCATGACAAAGGAATCTTTTGAGAAAAAAGTTTCTGGTAAAAAATGCGATAGTGAAGGTAATGAACTCAATTGGTGTGGACCATTAATAGAGGCGATCTTTGTGGATGACCTGAGGACTACTGGTATTGAACGGGGACGATGTGACTTACTAGCTTACTTTTCAATCACATCTCGCAGTAAATCAGTGAAGTTGATTGCCTTATCCTCGTATTCTGCTATTGTAGCTATATTTCGCTGACTGCCGACGAGGAATACGACGATATTGCAGAAGTGTAATTATAAAGATACATACAAGAAATAGAGTACGACCACTACCTCATGGACATATCCATCGTGTGCGGTTGATTACTAAGTGTTTACTATCCTTGACCTTTATGAGGATTGGCAGGCTGTTCGATATTCACAGATACGACTCACGGATGGTTTGACTAGAGCCTAGGACATTTCATTTGCTCTACACATCAACCTAACATCTTCAACTTCCTAAAATTGTAGTACACATGTATGTATGTGATTATGTGAGTAATACCGCCCCAATGCAATGAATTTGCCATTACTTACCATTGTGGTGGTGAATGCTTCTGATCATAATGATGCGTCAGTTATTTTTTAAGGGGTTGAGGTGAACAATAACCTATAAGCCCAGAATTGTTCTTGAACATTAACGTGATCTAATTAAAAGTTTACACAGTAAAGTAATGCCTCGACAAATTACATTGGTCACCAAGTTCAGTTTACATGGATTAGAGAAACCGTTGACAGACTTTAAAGATAATGAAACTAGGTTGTTTAAGTTGGCATTTAAAATTACGGACGAAAAGGTTAAATACTACAAAATAAATGTAAACCTCAATGACAAGGGATGTTTGTCCGAAAACAGTTCTCGTTCACTGACTGTATAAAAGAAAATGTTGAAAGTTGAAAGGCAGATAGGGCTATGATTAAATGGTGAAGAATAGGGTAACACGAAAGTAAGCTTTACAGCTGTAATTCTTTGGGAGTACAGCTGAAAAAGCAGATAGACCCTGCCAGGCCTGATGTGATCCTCATGACAGAAGTCTGGCTGATCTAGTCTATGGACGATAAATAAATTAACTTCAATAATTTCATATTGGTATGAGTTATCTATATCAAGCATTGTGACTTTGTTTTTTTGGAAGTAATACTCCCTTTACTGTCGTTAAAAGCATACTCCATGAAAGTAGAACTTGTGCGTTGATATTTAAAGGATAAGAGTTTC